ACGTCATTCTAGACTTAATTCAGTACGCTATGCCAAATTTCGTGCAAATCAAAAGATTTCCACGGACTTTAGTGGACTAAAATCAGTCGAAACTATATATGGGAGGTATATCTAAGTCTGGACCGATTATATAGGGACTTTGGTACACCGTTTACCTTACATCGGACGAAAATATATATGGAAGCTATATCTAAATCTGAACCGATTTCTCCCAATTTCAATAGGGTTCGTCCTTGGGCCAAACAAATGAGTTGTGCCAAATTTCATCCAATTCGGATCATAACTGCGACCTGTACTTTGTTTACAATTTAACATGGACAGACGGACGGACGGAAGGACGGACATGCATAAATCGACTCAGAAAGTGATTCTATGAATATTCTCAAAAGGAACCATGGGTCTATCTCGATTATTTTTGCCTGTTACAAACATATGCACAAAGACATAATACCCTGTACCACAGTGTTGTGAAAAATAAAATATAGTTCCACTCGACGTATCCGTAAAAAATGTTAACATAACAGACAGAAATCTGGATCTAATTCACATTCATTAAAATCAATAAATTACAAAAAAAAAAAAAAAAATACTATACTATACCACATTAAAATCATATCTGCACATTTGTTGATAATGAATGAGAAATATTTGGAAAAATATTTCTTAAATATTGGGTATAACTTTATCTTGTTAGAATGTAATCCAATAACATTACAAAATAAGTGATCATTTGTTGTGAACCTCTGAACCACATCAACATTCTCAATACTTCGATGGACGGAATGAGGACGGAAGAGATAAAAACAGTGACAATCCCCTTATATAGGCATCAAAAATGATGCTGCCTAGGAATACATATAAAAGCCATACATGTGTCCGATATATGTGATTCTGCCTTTAGCTCAATACAACTATGACAACAAAGTCTGCTATGTGGAAGAAGTAGTGACAAAGGCAATGTATTAATAATAGCTTCTGGGAAGAATATTTCTAACAAAAATAAGGAAACCAATGAGAGGACAACATTTATGCTCAATAAGAGGCAAGGCAAAGGAGATTATAGTTTCTCCTTTGTCTTGCCTCTTATTGAGCAATACCATATTATCTTTCCTAATTGGATATATGAAGGTTATTTGTAAATTATGTCCAAAATATATAAAATATCAGTGAATTCCACATGTCTCTTCATATACAATTTATTATCTGCCAAAAATATTAACATGTGAGCCACTGTATGTTTGCTATGTAAATAAAACTTTCATATAAACTGGCTGACACGATTTCATTTTTGTTCGTTTTTGTTTAATACAAAAACAAATTTCAAACTTAAATCTATTCACAAATCATAAACAACAAGACGAACTAGTGACAGCTAACCATTTGCTTCTATTAATCCCGTGCTGCCATCCATCCCCTGCGAAACAGCTTCAATTATTAATACAAGTAAATGATTTTTTTTTTACATTTTGTCAGCTGACATTTATGGAACGAACAAATGAACAACAAGTGAATGGATGGACAGCATGCAGACAAAATATGCGGATGATAATGGTTATGATGGTGGTGGTTGGTAAAGACCATCAACCTCTATGACCGTTGGGGTCTTGACTTGAAATGCAGGTGAGAAACTACTTTCACTGTCAACGTTATTGTCATTAATGGCCATGGTCGGGGAGAGAGAGACACAAAATATCATCATCGTCGCCGTCAACATCACAAAAAGCAAAGCCATTGACGGCCGTTTTGGTATATGGATGGTTGGGTTAATGCCTAAAAAAAGTTTTTTTGAATGAATGAACGAGTTTCACTTTGAGGAGTCTGTCCTCCTCGTCAATCTCTATCGTTTTGGTTATCTTCATTTGTTTAGTCGTTTTTTGGCATTTTTCTGTTAATTGGAAATGAAAGGTGTTGTGTTTTCGTTTTTTTTTTTTTTGTTTGGCTTATGAAATTATTAATGAATTGACTTTAATGACTTGGAAGTGGAAGTTTTTTGTGTTGTTTTTGTTATTAATGATAAACAATGATTAGCAAAAACACACAAAAAATCAAAAGGTTTTGCTGAGGGTATTATGTAAAAAATAAACTTTTTCAATTTTTGAAATTTTATTAGCCATGAAATATTTATTACATGATAGTTGAGCAATGCCACTTTCGAAATCATGTTACGACATTTTATGAGATATTTGTTTTTTTTTTCTAGAAAATTCCAGAAAGTCTGTTTATGAAAATTAGAGGGGATTGTTGGGAGGCATTTTATTTACAAAAAAAAAAATAATAATACATAAATTTTTGATTTTTATTAAAAATATATTAATGGTTTTTTTTTTTTTAAATATATTTAAAGCCTTTTTGCGATATTTTGAAAAAGGCGTAAATATTGACTCTTGCTGAGATCAAGACACCTTTTTTCAAGACACCAAATCTGGCGCTTAAATGAACCTCTTCAATAATAATCTGGGAAATGTCTACCTTGCTTCCAAAGTAATAATTTTTAGGAGATGAAATATATTTTAAGATTTTTTGTTTTGCGTGTTACCAATAAAAATGCTTTTTTAAAAAATGTTTTTTTTTACAATAAATTACTTTATTCGTTTTTTGTGAATTTTTTTGTAATGATTTTTTTCATATTAGAATGAAATGCAATTTTATGACAAATTGATAACTTATGATATTCTATTGTTAGAAGAATTGTATTTTGTTTTTTATTCAATAAATAATAATATGCATGTGTGTGTGTTTTTTTCTGTGGTTGTATCTGGTAGAACTATAAACTATTACACAAATAAATAATAATTAATAAATTATTACAACTATTTTAAAACAAATATTGTTACAACTTTCTTTTGTATTAAAATGTTTTTCTTCTTTTTTGTCTTTGTGTGTTTTTTTAGGTTTGTGCGGCTATGGATCAGTTGTGAAAGAGAAAGGGGTGAAAAAGAGACTGAGATGCGAAGATTCAAAGGTAAGTTGTTAAGAGATAGTCACAGTAAGAGAGTGATAGTAATGGAAAATAGTGCCAGTTTGAAAAGAGTTATTTTAGAAGAGAATGAGAGTAAAAAGAAATGAGAGATATTGAATGCAAGTGATAGATGTAAGACATAGAAAGTAACGAGAACAAAAGAGTTTTGTTGTAGAGTATTTAGTTTTGTTTTAGAGATAGATTTAGCTAATGAGTATAGTAGAGTTTGGCAAAAGAAAGCTTTCCTCTCACATATTGCTAAATGAGTAAGAGAGCAATGCTGAACTCTGCATTATAGGCTTAGAGAGTAATTTAGTTCTTATGAAGCTGAGAAACTATGGCATGTTATGGCGTTTTGCTTCACAGGGGAAACAAAACTAAAAAGAAATAGTACAAGAAATGAAAAAATTAGAAAAAGAAGAAGCAATATGAAATGAAAAGAGAGTTATAAAATAAAAATGCAAATGAAGAGAAAATAGTTAAAGAAACTATGAAATAATAAGTGATAGAAAGATAGAGAAAGAAAGGAAGGATATGTGAAAGAGAGATAGTTTTGGAGAAGAGAGAATAGCAAGAGTTTGGAAATTTGATAATAAAGCTATGGAAAATTATAAAACAAAAAATATTGTTATAATTATTAAGACTAGAATTAAAATAACAGATAATTACAAAAGAAAAGTAGTGAAAGATAGAATAGAAGAATTGAAGAAAATAATAGAATATAGAAAGATAGAATAAAAGACTAGATAGTTGTGGAAGAATATGAAACAAGAAATAGTAATGAAAAAAATATATAAATGACAAAGAAAAAAGAAAATATAGAATAAAGAGAAAATAAATGAGAGATAGAGTTAGATAGGCGATGAGATAGAATTAAAAAGTTAAAAAATTTAAGAAACAAGTTTAGAAATGAAAATAGAAAAAAGAGTAGAGAAATTTAAAGTGTTCACAGTTAGAAAGAGAGAGAATAAGAAATTGTAAACAAGTTTAAGAGAAAGTGAAAGTATAGTTAAAAGAGAAAGTAGTATGGAAAGTGAAAAATTAATGCAGGTTTTTCCTTAAAGGCAAGGAAAAACGAACATTGCAGTTAGGCCATTCTCTATTCAGTTTTTCTATGTAATTGATTTTGTTTTTACTCCTTTTCTAAATTGAACTGAGTATTTTCTTCATGTGTTTTTGTTTTGTCGGTTTTTTTCTTCTTCTCATAAATACTCAAGTTTTCACATATTAACTAATACATACACATATATATTATGTAATACATAAAAACTTTTATATAAATATTATAAAAGAGATAGAGAGAAGAATGCACACACTTATCTGTTTTGTAACTATGTGATTCCGAGTTTCAATTCGCATCGACTAATATCGATCGATTGTCTCGAAGTGGACAGGGGCTTCTTGACTCTTGGCTTGGCTTCTCTTCTATACATCTTGGCTTCTTTGTCATCATCTTCAGTACTATTTTCTTATTTTTTTGTGATTATTTTTGGAGATCTATTAGATCTCATTGTAGTAAGCATGCGTTGTATGGTTTTTGTTTTGTTTTCTTTATATATGTATATGTGGCTTGGAGGTGAATTAATTATAATAAATAAAATAAATTAAATAAATATAATAAATTAACAAAATTGACAAAAAATAGAATTTATAAAAAAACATTAATCGTTTTTGTTTGTAGTTTTAACTTAAGTTGCGTAAAGTAATAAAAAGTCTAGTTTCTTTATGGTCTGAGGAGTTTGATGTGAGTTTCTCCACCAGTCAAATCATCCGCCAGCAATGCAAGGATAAACCAGTGCTACATTTACACACACACAAACAAAGACTCTTGAAAAATTGTGTTAAAAACAAAATTTAAGCTCAATGTTGTTTTGATAAATGCAACACTTACGTTTCACCTTGATTTTGGATCACTGCTGGCTAATTTAATTGGTGGCATAAAACTTTCTCTTCTCTCATCACGTCGCGTCATCGTAGGTCATTGTAGTCGTCCTGGTCATCGTTTTAGTTTTTTTTTCTGTTTTTGTTTGTTCGTTTTGTATTACACAAAGTTCGTTATCATCTTTAGATTTGTCGTTGGGTTTCTTAGCGTTGTGACAATTTTCTTAAAATCTGATGACTGTTGTGGGCCTCTGCTACGCTTAGGCTTTGTTGGGCTTTTGGGCATTGTAGGCCAAATCTTGGGCATCCAAGGAACGGCCCCAACCACCATGACCAGAGCTGCCATAAGAGCCGGATGAACCAACATCAGCACTGTAACCACTGCCATAGGAATCGTGGCTGACGGAGTGACTGGCACTGTGATGGGGATGGGCAACAACTTCATAGGTAACGTGTTTCTCTTGAGACAACAATTTCTTCAAACCAATAACGGCAGAGAGAACCAAAGCAATTTTACCGATCAACAAGGCCTTACCGGCGATCAAGGCAATAGCACCCAACAACAAAGGTAAGAGAGCGGCAGCCTTCAAGGCGATCAAGGCAACAATGGGGCCCAAGATTTTGGCGGCCTTCTTCTTCTTGCCACGGCTTTCCTCGGTAGCGTTGGGGTCATCGGAACCGAACAAAGATTCGCTAACATCTTCCAAGGCACGGCCAGTTGAGCTGACAGCGTTGACAATATCGGCACCGTTCAATTCAACCTTGATGGTGTGGCTGTTCAAGAAGCTGGTGATGCGGTTCATGGCCAATGATTCGAAAGATTCGTTGCCGGAGATGGAGCGGGCGGCAGCATCTTGGGCGGGAGCATCAGGAGAGCGTACAACGGTAACACCTTCGGTCAAAGCGAATTGATCGCGAGCTCCCAACACCTTGTCGACAAAGTTGAACAGCTTGTATTTCACACAAGACACGGAATCCTTGCGCAGACAATCATTGTAAATACTATCCACGATATCGTTGTCGGAGCCGACAGCATTACGGGCATGGCCACGGGTCTCTTCGGCGGGTAGGGCTGCTGCCAGTGAGATTAAACACACAACACTGATTGTAACAAATTTGTGAGCCATTTTTCTTTATTTATTTATTTTTTGTTGTTTTTGTGTAATTGCGTTTGGTTTTTAAGCAAACTCTTTCGTTATAGTCCTTGTTTTGTTTGAAATTGTAAATGACACCACCACACGACACTTTCTCTGATTCGTAACCGTTCGTCGTAAAACACGATAAACACACCGTCGCTAGCTTTCTTTTTGGGGTTGGTTGGCCGAAACGCTTGTGTTAACGTTTGAACGAGTAAGGATGAAATGATACAATTTCCCCATGGTCTAAACAATTTATATACGAATGCCTAACGCAATGAGCTCAACATGGCCATAAGCATAAAGCCAGACAGTCAGCTAGCCAGCTTCATACCAAGCCAGAGTTGCTCAACAACATTTTCTTCTTTCATTCATGCATTCAGCCAAGCAAGCAGCTATGGCAGTCAGCTAAGCCAGCCAACCCGGCAGCCCAGCATTGGTATTTCTCTGCCATGGGAAAGGCAGATGGTGTTGGTGAGCAGAAACAGCAACAACAACGACAGCGAACACGTTAAAACCAAAGTCAAAGTCATCGGTAACGCAACGCCAGCTTTACGTATTCGCGTTTTTAACTTAAGTCTTTCGTTTTGGCTCAATCTTCTCTTTTGGGGGGAATTTTAGTGCTGCCGTTGCTGCTACCGCTCGCTCGCACACTCAGACACACATGTGTCTTTGTTGTTGTTGTTTGTTGCTGATGGTTTTGTGATATTGACTTTTTGGCAAAATATCTCACTAGGAAAACCAGTTTTAGGCTCTTCTCTTATTCCGTTCGACAAAAATGCTTTCGCTAAAAACTGTTTATTTTCATTTCGGGTTGCCATTGCCGTTGTTGTTGTTATGGTTTTCTTCAAAACTTAAGTGCAACAAATTCATGTAACATTATCAACTTTCAATGGCTTCAGGTTGTTATTACTGTTTAGTTAGTTGGCTTTTACAAGTGTTTGTATAGATGTGCTCGCACTTTTTTCTTTCCCATTTTTTTCATTTTTTTGGGTTTCAACCATAAAAATTAATTCAGACTTCAAGACCAGCAATCTTCCTTAAATGTTCATAGCTTCCTTTGTAACTTTTTCTTTTTTTGTTGTTATTGTTGTTTTCTTCGATTGCTGGTTATGTTTGTCCATATCCACGCATTGGGATGCTGTGGATGGAGATTTTATCAATGATTTTACATCGAGTATTTCATCATTTTCTATTGAATCGAAAGGAAATTACTGTTGGATATAAAGAAAAGTATTGTGAAATTAATACAAAAAAGAGTTTGGATTTTCTATTTATTTAATAAGTGGTAATTTATATTATTGTAAACAATATCCTTTTAAAAATCGGAAGCATTTCGTATAATGAATTTCATCGGCAATTGAAATAAAATTTTTTTTTAAATTTAGATTGAATATATTTTAAACGTTCATGATTTTTAATGGGCTGGTAAATCAATACCAATGCTTGTTAAGGTTTCTAACTTTGCACATATATACTTGAAGATTTAAAAGGGAAGACAAATAATTTACAAAATTTTGAGAAGCCCTCTTGCATTCACATATCTTCAAAAATTGTTGGGATTTTCACTACAAATGTTATATGGACATCCTTAAATTGGTGTAGGTTCGATTTTAATCAAAACAAAAAATTAATTTTTTTTTTTTGAAACCGAGGATAGGGGATCCCCTTAAGACTATACTTTGCATTGAAGTACCCAAAATCTCGTAAAACGCGAAAAGTCCATATGCCTTCAAAATCCGTATCAGGTAATTTATTGGTACGGAAAAGATCCACAGAAAATGCAATTAAGTTCGCGATATTTTTGCGTACTGAAACTAGAAAATAATTTCAAAAATACTCAAAATCGAGCTTCAAAATGTCAGCATCATTTAAAGATAGATGCAGTAATATTTTCGAAAATCGGTACAAAAGGAACGTACTCCTCATTTTGTAGGCTTCATCTTTTACTTTAGCACGAATGCCGAGAAATTAATGATTTAGTCACATATCGAGAAAACCCATAAAAACCCTGGGTTGCCTAACCCTGTTTTGCCCACTTTTCTAAATTAAAGTAGGCACAGCATCCCCGAAAACAATCTTTAGAGGTCAATATCATGAACAGTTGGCAACGACAGATCAATAAATTCAAAAATATTCAACTTTTCTTATATACTTCAATACATCCCGAGTTATAAAGGGGGAACCTCGGCTTAAATTGTATTAAAAATTTGGCACTATTGCCCATATATTGTCCGAAATCGGGTTCGGTGAATTTTATGGTCGACTACTCATAGAAAATGTGTCCGTCTGCCAAGCTACTCGAGAAATATTTCCATGGTCATTACAAAAAATATTTACTTGGAAATCCAGATTTGGTCGTCTTCGTATTTTTGTAAATATTTCTGCAAGCTATGTTGTGGGTCATAACTTTTGAACTAATTCGTGTATCATAGGAAAAATACGTAATGTTTGGCACATACAGGGTCATTTTAAGTGTGAAATTAATGCTGTAATGAAAAAATGTGTTACACTTTTTATTAAAGCAAAGATGCGTAACAGCGAAAGAAATATGAAATAAGGTAATTTCTCGGCCCAAACATTTTTACACAATTGACAGCAAATGTTGTAAGAAGCTTTCGGTTATAAAACGAGACACAATTTTATAAGAAATTAAGTCTTTTGTGACCATTGTCCTTTGAGATGTAGACTAACTAATGCCAAATTTTCTACACCATTGAATTTACATTAATAATTATATCCTACACAACTGTGTGTAAGGGTACTATAGCTTTGTGTGTCCCCTAGAGTTCGAAACGCCACGAAATATTGGTCCTAGAGCCACCTTCTAGTTTGCCGATCGTAACATCTAGACTAGTTGAGTCGATCTAGTGTATGTCCGTCTGTCCATTATAATTTGTAAACAGGTAGGACGGGTTCTAGCCAAAGAAGACCGCTAATGATCGGTTAATATTTAGGGAATAAAATGGATTAAAAACTCTATTTTGGTCTGCTTTTCTGGAAGCCACAATTATGAGCTGAACATTACTAAATTTTACACAGAAAAAAGGTCATACCATAGCATAAGAATGATTGTTTTTGTGAAGATCGGTCAATATTTAGCAGGTCAAATGGTCCCAGAATTTTGTGTATTCTATGGATTATATATTTCCTTCTGAAGGACATTGACACAAGAAGTTGAAAGTATATCCAAGAGGAGTAGTTGACCTTTAAATTGGTACCAATTATGTTGTTCTATCAACTCTGATGTGGGAGTTTTACTTATTGTGTGGTTATTTAGTCGCCACACGAAAAAATGCCACAGCTTCTCTGTTGACTTCTAACCGGTCACGAGAGTGCAAATTTACCCTCCACCATAGGTATAATGACAGTTAGTTGAAATGTAAATCGTGTAATAATTAGCGAATATTTGCGGTTATAATTATATGAGGGATATGTCTAATTAAAACCGATATATCTCAATTTAAAACCTAATATTTTACCTTCCTTCGCGCTAAATATTAAAAATGACAAAAATCGGGAGTTATCATTTTATGGGGCTAGGCATAAATGTGGCCGATAATTTGCCGATATTAATAATTTAGCGGGAAGATTTGATACCGAATTAGAAACAAATATATTTGATAAAAAAATGTGTCCAAAATTCTCAAGATACCCACATTTTGGAGGTACCTTTATATGGGGGCTACACAGTAAAATAGACCGTTAGTGGAAATTGGGGCGTACCGTTATATGGTGGTCATGCCTAAATGCGGGCCGAATAGCATATATTTGGAAGGTACAACCATAGCGTACACATTCTTGATTAGATGCAATTTTATATCGATTAGCATGTCCATCTGTCTGTTTGCAATATTTAAGATACACCATTGACATTTTGCAAATACATTGGAACTAGGGATACGTAGTCGAGCGCAAAAGTCGACTTATAGACTTTTCGATTTTTGTCTTTGACTAAAAAGTCGACTTTTCGATCTTTCGATTTTGTCAAATCTGTCAAAAATCAAATTTCGACTTTTACCGACTAAAGCCAAATCGACTAAAAATTTGATTTTCTATAAGAATTGTTGTTAACAGATGAAGTAAAGTTGTGGAACGTGTAATTTTTGGGCAATTTTGGCTTTGAATAATAATATTTATGAAGAAAATCGAATGTTGGTCGTGAAAATTCGACTTTGCGATTTTATCAAAGATTAAAAGTCGACTTCCACTTTTCTTACAAAAAGTCTTTTCAATACAGAAAGTCGATTAATTGATTAGTCGAAAGTCGATTTACTTATCCCTAATTGGAACTATTCCTGATATGTTTAGCATTGAGAAGAAGTGGGTCATAACCATCATATCTCCATATTTCTAAAGTTTTAAACGTCATTAAAATGCTTCTGCTCTAAAAATTGTCAAAACACGATTATTATTTGACTAGTCCCCGTCCGAGTAAAAACCTACTTTGAACCTACCTACCTTCCACCTTCCAGAGGCTTGTTCCATTTTTTGGTATTTTTAAGGTCACAACCGAATTTTTACACCTGAGTGTATGTGATTTAGAATTTGGTATATTTTGACCTGATTGAATTTAACAATGCCTTCTAATAAAATATTTCAAAGTTTATTATTAGTCGGTTAAAATTTAACTTACATTTTTGTATAAATGATTAAACATATTTTCCAAGAAAACATTACCAATCCTTGTGAATTATTTTGTATTTTTGTTCAGACAGTGGTATTAGGTTTTCTATTTATTTGTTTACTCATTTCTATGAAAACACAATTTATTGGCATTTAAGAGGTAGAGAAACCATTTTTTTACATTTCTGTTAAACAATCTATTTACAGTGGCTCCATCGCATAATCGGACAAAAGTTTTTCTAATATAAATGTATTCTGAACATTAAAAAAGAGTTAAACATATATTTTTTTTATATTGGTAGTTTTCATTATATTAAGGTTCTGTTTACTGACGAAAGCAAATTTAATTTGCACGGATCAGATGGAAAGATGTATGTGTGGCGTAAGCCAAATGCTGAATTTAATCATAAGAATACAAAAGCCACTGTTAATCACGGAGGAGGTTCTGTTATGGTTTGGGGCTGCATGTCGAGTGCGGGATTAGGCAATTTGCATTTTATTGATGGTAAAATGGACAAATTTGTCTACCTCAAAATTTTAAAACAAAATGTAAAGCAAAGTGCAGACAAATTGGGTATCGCGAACAACTTTGCCTTTTATCAAGACAACGATCCCAAGCACACATCAGGTGTTGCAAAGCTTTGGTTGATCCATAACTGCCCCAAACTTATACAAACATCTGCACAGAGCCCAGACCTTAACGTAATTGAGCATATTTGGGAAGAATTAACTAGGAGAGTGTATGAGAAAAAATTTAACTCCTTAGTACAGCTTAAGGAGGGCTTTACTGAAATCGTGGAACTCTATAGAGCAGGAGGTATGC